CCCCAAAACCCCAAAACCCCAAAACCCCGTGATAAGTACAGCTTATTGAATTAGAAGTATTTCCCAATCATGGAACTTAGGGTTATCGACTTATGAAAATAGATGTTCACTCACCTTTGTAAAATCTTCCTGACTTACTTTATTGGATTGTATGCGGAAATTTTTAGTTTGATCGAGTCAACTTACAAGCTAATGATGGTTATTGCCTATTCCTAATCTAAAACATTATTAGGGTTAATTGATATGAATAAATTTATCTGCCTCAGTAATCTCTAAAAACTGAAAACAATACAAGTTTTAAGTATTCATACCTCTAGAATTTGAAGTTGAGTGTTAATAATTCTTTCCTAGGGAAGACGAACAAAGAAAGACAGCGGTGAATCTCAAAATCAGACTCTCTCATTCAACTCAGCGTTCCCCACATTAGGATTTTAAGTTTCATAAGTTTCTTTTAAGGAAATGCAAATGTTCATAAATTTTTCTTAATCTAACATGAACAAAAGGAGCACAACTAATTCAGAACCAAAAAGATCGCTTTATGGTATAATAAGGTTCTAATCAAGTTGGCAAAATACTCTCTCATGCTTTATCTTTTTAGAGCATCAAAGATAATCAAACTTAGTTTTCCTAAAACTAAGTATTTAAGAGAGTAGAGATTTGGTATATCAAATTGTTTTTAAACTCTGCTATTATATATAATCTTTTATAAAAAGACTGACCATGCCTTCACACCAAACCAAGGATGCTTATACTGAAATTAGAAATAAGATACAACCCTTTTTCCTAGTTCTTATATTTAGTAACAAAGTTTGAACCCCTTATACATTTTAACCTGAAATTTTGCTCAAAGAATCGGTTTTCTATGAGAAGGCTGATGAGAATTCTGAGTATTTTAGCAGCACAAGCCTGTTATTTACTTATAAAACTAAATCTTACCTACCTCTGTGAGCCAATTCATAGCTTGTTTATAGGTTCAGTTTTAAAAATAGAAAGATAGGATCCTTTATATTAAGGTCTCCAATTACAGTTTTTAATCATGCTCCTTATATTGGTAGTTTAAGGTTTTAAAATTTGAAACTGCTCCGTTTCAAAAATAATTAGAATACAATCCAACTCATAATTGCTCGATGCTTTGTTCAATCAGTAGCTTTGCTTAATGATTAGCAAATTTACAAGTTATGTTATCAAAATTAATCTGGTTTACATGTTTAGTAATTATTGAGTACTGAGGCAAAGAGACCTACATTTCGACGATAAACCTCTAGTTTAAGAATTTTCTGACTAAAAGTGTCTCATTAATACCCATACTAGCAAGACCTTGTTTGACAGTCATGATTCAGGTAGCATTTTTAGGTTAGGTTAGGTTAAGTTCATACTTAAATTTCTTCTATTTCTTTCAATACTCTATAAAATATATTATGAACTCACTCCCTGTGAGAGTTTGCCTCTCTCTAAACTCTTGAAATAATCCAGACTAGGTTCCTAATATCAAAACTCCCTTGCTAAATTTGTCATTTTTCCGAAAGAGAGTAAACTGATATGTTAAATACTTCTATGCTGAAATCTTCTTGAAATGAGTGAAACATCATGAAGAAAGATACCTGAATCCTTCTACTTTGTCTTTCAGGGTATTTCTAAACTTTTTTTATGAAGGTTTGCTCCTTTAGAGCAGAGAATCTCTTGAGAAAATGGTGTATTATAACTTCCTAACCCAGTTGACTAAGTTTTGATTCCTTAGTTGGTAAAATCTATTAATTATTTATTAATTTACTCTGGTTTTTCATAAATTTATCCAGTTTGTGCATGCACGCATTGGTAACTTTAAGGGTCGATGAAGCTTCTGGGCTGTTGGTCTCGATAAGTTAGTACTATTCTGAATTAATTTTGGACTCTACCCATGCTTTGAAAATTTTTAATTTGAGATATATTTACTTCTGGACAACAGTTGATCCAGTAGAAATATAGAACAAGATTCAGTTAATTAGCTTATTAGATATTATAATTAGTTAGCTTTAGAGGGAACATTTGGGTGCTTCTCAATCATGAATCGTTACTCCTCTTACAAGTCTGCTCTTAGATGGTTTAGCCACTTTTGTATTTACTCCCTTGTATTTATCTTCCTTTAATAAATCTGAGTTACTCCTTATTCTCATGGCTCTCCTTAGGAGATGCTTGATATCACTCTGAAGGTTGGATTCACTAACCCAACCTTGGGATTTAAACTTTTTAAAGAGTAGTTCTTTTCTTGGAATTACAAAATCCTTGCTTCAATGGGACACTGGGTCTCTTGATGATACTAGCACTCCCAGTTTATCCAAAGGGCATGATTCAGCCTTCAAAATTTTACTGCTGAGGACATTCATACTGAATAAATCTTTTGACATATTCTTGTCAAGGTTTGTGGAGATATTGATGCTGGAGACTGAAGCATTTTCGTCTAATAAGTCTTCAGATAGGTTTTCATTAAAGTCATTTAGTTTATTCATGTTTAATATTTTAACTTCCTCAAGTATTTTATTCTTATATGGGGTTTTGGGGTTTTGGGGTTTTGGGGTTTTGGGG